TGACTGATAGCGAATGAGGAGGAGACCACTCTCTCCCGGTCACTTCCTGTGGGCTTTGCTCAGGGGGGGTGGGGGTGGGGTCACCTGGTTCCCTGTCCTTGCACCAGATCCCAGGCTCAAGCGCAGGACACGGTCCCATCTGTGACCCTGAGACTGGGCCTCGGTCCCCAGTCTTTCTCATAGCATCCTAGAATTGGAAGAGAGGGACCCCAGGGAACATCCAGTCTTCTGGTCAGGCCCCTTCTGCTACACAGGAAACAATCTAAGCCCTCTCAACAGATGGCCATCTAGCATCTGCTTAAAACCCACTAGAGGAGACTCCACTACACTCCTAGGTGACAGCAGCAGAATTTCCCCCGGTCAAATGGCTCGTACCGCAGGAAGTTCTTCCTAGTGTTTAGGTGGGATCTCTTGTCCTGCCATTTGAACTCGTGGCTCCGTTGGGTCCTCTTCTCCTTTTCGATGGGACCTCTTTCCAAATATTTAAGCCTGGCCCCTCTCCTGCCCCCTCCTTCCCTCCCTTCCTTCACTCAGCCTCCTCTTCTGGAGGATGAACAGATCCCACTCCTCCTCCTCCTCCTCCTTCTTAGAGGGAGGGGTCCATGGCTTCCAGGCCTTAGAGTCGGTGTCCCTTCTCTGGACGCTTTCTGGACAGCCTTTTTGCACCTCAGAATAGACTCACTTTGCTGAAGTCGCCAGAATTGCACACAGTCTGAAGTCTTTGGAGCTTATTAAAAAATAAAAGATGAAAAGTATAAAAAGGAAGTAATGGTTCAAAGATCAATAAAACATAGCACTATAAAGCAGGATTCCAAGAGGCAACAACGAAACAAAGTCCCATGAGAACATGACAAAATCCCAAGACACAGGAAAACGAGCACAAGCTGCTTGGTTGAGTGAGAAGTTGCTCTGACAAAGGTTTGTTTTCAAACACACTGCTTAATACCCTTTGCAATACATGAAAGCATTTCTTTGGCCTCTGACCTTCTTCTTGTTGGCTATTCTCACACTCCTTCGAACTCTGAATTGCAAATGGTCAGCCCGATCTAAGGTTCCCGTTTCCTCAAGGTTGGACTGCTGACCTCCTTCTTGTTAGCTATTCTCACACTCCTTCGAACTCTGAATTCCAAACGGTCAGCCTGATCTAAGCTTCCCGTTTCCTCAAGGTCAGGCTGTTGACTTCCGTCTTGTTGGCTATTCTCACACTCCTTCGAACTCTGAATTGCAAATGGTGAGCCCGATCTAAGGTTCCCGTTTCCTCAAGGTCAGGCTGTTGACTTCCGTCTTGTTGGCTATTCTCACACTCCTTCGAACTCTGAATTGCAAATGGTGAGCCCAATCTAAGGTTCCCGTTTCCTCAAGGTCAGGCTGTTGACTTCCGTCTTGTTGGCTATTCTCACACTCCTTCGAACTCTGAATTGCAAATGGTGAGCCCGATCTAAGGTTCCCGTTTCCTCAAGGTCAGGCTGTTGACTTCCGTCTTGTTGGCTATTCTCACACTCCTTCGAACTCTGAATTGCAAATGGTGAGCCCAATCTAAGGTTCCCGTTTCCTCAAGGTCAGGCTGTTGACTTCCGTCTTGTTGGCTATTCTCACACTCCTTCGAACTCTGAATTGCAAATGGTGAGCCCGATCTAAGGTTCCCGTTTCCTCAAGGTCAGGCTGTTGACTTCCGTCTTGTTGGCTATTCTCACACTCCTTCGAACTCTGAATTGCAAATGGTGAGCCCAATCTAAGGTTCCCGTTTCCTCAAGGTCAGGCTGTTGACTTCCGTCTTGTTGGCTATTCTCACACTCCTTCGAACTCTGAATTGCAAATGGTGAGCCCGATCTAAGGTTCCCGTTTCCTCAAGGTCAGACTGCTGACCTCCTTCTTGTTGGCTATTCTCACACTCCTTCGAACTCTGAATTTCAAAAGGTCAGCCCGATCTAAGCTTCCCGTTTCCTCAAGGTCAGGCTGTTGACCTCCTTCTTGTTGGCTATTCTCACACTCCTTCGAACTCTGAATTCCAGCCCGATCTAAGCTTCCCGTGTCATCAAGGTCAGGCTGCTTCTTAGTGTCCGCCTGGTTGCCTTCCTGCCTACTCTCAGGCTGAGAACTGTCCTGCTTTTCTGAGTCAGTTTGCACCTGGCTAGTTTCAGTATCACAAACATCCTTCCCTGCTGTGGGAAACTGAACTTGCACACCCTGTTCCTCATTGTCCACAACAGGAACATTTTGAACCTGATTGTGAACCTGAATCCCATCATCCTCACAGTTTGATTACATAGAATCATAGAATCATAGAGTTGGAAGAGACCTCATGGGCCATCCAGTCCAACCCCATTCTGCCAAGAAGCAGGAATATTGCATTCAAAGCACCCCTGACAGATGGCCATCCAGCCTCTGTTTAAAAGCTTCCAAAGAAGGAGCCTCTACCACACTCCGGGGCAGAGAGTTCCACTGCTGAACGGCTCTCACAGTCAGGAAGTTCTTCCTCATGTTCAGATGGAATCTCCTCTCTTGTAGTTTGAAGCCATTGTTCCATTGCGTCCTAGTCTCCAAGGAAGCAGAACACAAGCTTGCTCCCTCCTCCTCCCTGTGGCTTCCTCTCACATATTTATACATGGCTCATCATGTCTCCTCTCAGCCTTCTCTTCTTCAGGCTAAACATGCCCAGCTCCTTAAGCCGCTCCTCATAGGGCTTGTTCTCCAGACCCTTGATCATTTGAGTCACCCTCCTCTAAACAGAGTCACTCTGAGACCCCACCTGAGTCACAACACTCTCAGTCTGTGTCTGTGGTTCCAGCTGAGTCACAACAAGCCTGTCCATACCCTTCCTGACCGGTGGCTCCCAGAAGTGGACACCGGGTTCTCCCGGGTGAGCCCTCACCAAAGCAGAAGTGGGATTGTTGAAATTGCAGGAAAAGGGATTCCAACATTAGGAAGGTCTTCCCGACAGTCAGGGCTGTTGGCCAGAGGAAAATGGGGGCTTGGGTGGGGCCTTAAAATATTCCTTAATCCATTTTAAGTGGGACAGAGTATCTCAGGTACTTTCAGAGAAAGAAGTAGACCCACAGGCTCCAGGACTGGGTTTTACAATAATGTAGCTATAACTTAGCAAAAGGGGAAACATCACCTTTACTCCAACATTCACTCACAGTCCGTACATCCGCTCATTCATACTCACCAACCTTCATTCAGTTGATCAGGCTTCCTGGGAGGAAGGAAGCAGGGTTCAAGTGCTGCATTCCTTGCAGATCTGGCACGCTTTGGAACTATGGGAATTGAAGTCCCAAACACCTGGAGAGCCCAAGTTGGCCCATGCCTGGCCTCTCCCTTTACAGGCCCAGCCAGACCAAAGCATACAATTTAGGCTTGGGTAACCACAGAAAAATTTGGTTCTAAACTCGGTTTGGTTTTAGGGGTCCCTTGCGTTTCGTTTTTTTTTAATAATTCCGAAATTTTCCTTTTAAAAATTTCAAAAGATACAAAATTTCGTAAAATTACGAATCGATTCGTTAATGGCGGACGCGATTGCGCAATATGCTAAAAAAACTCCAAATGGGAGAGGGGGAACTTCTGAAGCTTCCCTCTCCCTCTGTTGTTGACTGTTGGTGTGATAAAACAAACAACAACTATCAAACTTGCACCAGACATGCCAAAATAATTACGAAATAATTACAAAATAATTACGAAATAATTACGAAATAATTACGGAATAAATTGAAAAAATTGTTTGGCTCAATATTGGATCGTAAGCTAATTAAAATACGAATTAATAACGAATTACGAAATTAACGAAATAATTACGAAATAATTACAAAATAATTACGAAATAATTACGAAATAATTACGGAATAAATTGAAAAAATTGTTTGGCTCAATATTGGATCGTAAGCTAATTAAAATACGAATTAATAACGAATTACGAAATTAACGAACGAAATAATTATGAAATAATTACGGAATAATTACGAAATAATTACAAAATAATTACGGAATAAATTGAAAAAATCGTTTGGCTCAATATTGGATCGTAAGCTAATTAAAATACGAATTAATAACAAATTACGAAATTAACAAAATAATTACGAAATAATTACGGAATAATTACGAAATAATTACAAAATAATTACGGAATAAATTGAAAAAATCGTTTGGCTCAATATTGGATCGTAAGCTAATTAAAATACGAATTAATAACGAATTACGAAATTAACAAAATAATTACGAAATAATTACGGAATAATTACGAAATAATTACGAAAGAATAATTACGGAATAATTACGAAATAATTACGAAATAATTACAAAATAATTACGGAATAAATTGAAAAAATTGTTTGGCTCAATATTGGATCGTAAGCTAATTAAAATACGAATTAATAACGAATTACGAAATTAACAAAATAATTACGAAATAATTACGAAATAATTACGAAATAATTACGGAATAATTACGAAATAATTACGGAATAATTACGAAATAATTACAAAATAATTACAAAATAATCACGAAATAATTACGAAATAATTACAAAATAATTACGAAACAATTACAAAATAATTACGAAATAATTACGGAATAATTACGAAATAATTACGAAATAATTACAAAATAATTACAAAATAATTACGGAATAAATTGAAAAAATTGTTTGGCTCAATATTGGATCGTAAGCTAATTAAAATACGAATTAATAACGAATTACGAAATTAACAAAATAATTACGAAATAATTACGAAATAATTACGGAATAATTACGAAATAATTACGAAATAATTACGGAATAATTACGAAATAATTACAAAATAATTACGGAATAAATTGAAAAAATCGTTTGGCTCAATATTGGATCGTAAGCTAATTAAAATACGAATTAATAACGAATTACGAAATTAACAAAATAATTACAAAATAATTACGAAATAATTACAAAATAATTACAAAATAATTACAAAATAATTACAAAATAAATTGAAAAAAATGTTTGGCTCAATATTGGATCGTAAGCTAGTTTAAATACGAATTAATAACGAATTGCGAAATTAACGAACGAAACCGCCCAAACCTAATACAATTCCATCCATCTGTTCACTCACTCATCACGAGCCCACCCCTCCTGTGCTGTTCTCTGTGCTCTCTCTGTCCTCAGGTTGGGACAACAACAACAACGACGCCATGTCTCGGGTGCCAGAGGAGCCCGAGTGCCAGATCTGCTACGACCGCTTTGACCTCCGCTCCCGCCGGCCAAAGCGCCTGCTGTGCGGCCACTGCGCCTGTGCCCGGTGCCTGCGGAGGATGGTGGAGCCGGCGGAGTCGGAGAATGCGCTGGAGGCATTGGGGTCCCCGGCCTTGCTGAGCTGCCCCTTCTGCCGCCAGGAGACCCCCGTCCCGCAGAGGGAGGTGGGCCGGCTGCCGGACGACGCCACCGTGCTGCCTCTCTTGACCGGCCCACGCTCGGGCCCGGAGGTGCTGCTGTGCCCGGGAGGTGCCCTGGAGACCCTCCCCGGGGGTCCCCTCGGCAGCCCCTCCTCTTCGCCCTCCTCCTCCTCGGACTGCCTGGTGGTGACGCTGCTGGAGCTGCCCCTGGAGGGGCCGGAGGGGTCCCTGGGGCTGCTGGAGGTCATGCGCCTGCACCGCCCGCCCAGCCTGGGCTCCCTGCCTTGCTCCCTGCCGCTGGTGGGCAAGTGCCAGCCCTGCCTGGGGGGGGGCTCCTCCTCCTCCTCCTGGGGCCCCCAGGACCTGCCCCGCTTCATGCTGGGCGCGCTCTGCCTGGCCTACCTCAGCTCCCTGCCCTTCGGCATCTACCTCCTCCTGGAGGGGCACCTCAACCTGGGCATCGTCCTGGTCAGCCTGGTCCCCTCCACGCTCATCCTCTGCCTCTGCTACAGCCTCGGACAGTGCCTCTGCCAGGAGGCCTTCCTCGCGGGGCCCTCCTCCGCCTCCTCCTGAGGGCCCTTAGGGAGGACCCTGCATCCCCCAGACCCACTTTGCCCCCCACACCCTCCATGGACCCTCCAAGGGGCAGTGGCCGCAGATGGGGACCTTGAAGTCATGCCACACACCTGACACCAACACATCAGGGTCCTTGGGCAGTGGAATCTGCTGCTTCTTGGGAGTCCATTGAAGGTTATAAAGCAGAGGCTGGATGGGCATCTGTCGAGAGGGATTGCATGGTACTTTCCTACCTAACTTGGACTGGATGGCCTTTGGGGTCCCTTCTGAATCATTCTATGATTCTAGGATCTCAGAGGCTGGAAAGCCATCTATTGGGAGGGATTGGGTGGTGTTGGCAGAAAGAGAGAAGGAGGTTGGACTGGATGGCCTTTGGGGTCCCTTCTGACTCAATCTGTGATTCTAGGATCTGTGATTCTAGGAAGGTCATCTGTCAGGAGGGATTGCCTGGTGTTTTCCTGCCTGGCTTGGACTGGACAGCCTTTGGAGTCCCTTCTGACTCATTCTAGGGTTCTAAGGTCTCAGAGGCTGGAAGGTCATCTGTTGGGAGGGATTGGATGGTGCTGGCAGAAAGAGAGAAGGGGCATGGACTGGACGGTCTTTGGGGTCCCTTCTGACTCATTCTACAATTCTAGGAATTCAGGGGCTGGTAGGCCATCTATCGGGAGGGGTTGCCTGGTGCTTTCCTGCCAGGCTTGGACTGGACGGCCTTTGGAGTCCCTTCTGACTCATTCTAGGGTTCTCAGAGGCTGGAAGGTCATCTGTTGGGAGGGATTGGATGGCACTGGCAGAAAGAGAGAAGGGGCTTGGACTGGATGGCCTTTGGGGAACCTTCTGACTCATTCTAGGGTTCTAGGATTTCAGAGGCTGGAAGGTCATCTGTTGGGAGGGATTGTATGATGTTTTCCTGCCTGAAAGAAAGAGAGAAGGGGCTTGGACAGGACGGCCATCCTTCTGACTCAGTCTAGGATTTCATATGAGGACCCAGACCCACTTTGCCCCCCCCATCCCATCCCATCCCATCCCATCCCCAATGGACCCTCCAAGGGGCAGTGGCAGTGGACGGGGGCCTTGAGGTCACGTCTCATGCCTGACCCCAATGCTTCGGGGTCAGGCTGCTTTTTCTCCCTCTTCCTTCAGCATTGGGACCTGCTACTGCTTGGGAGTCTGTTGAAGCCCCCTCCTCTGCAGGTCTTACAGCAGAGGCCAGATGGGCATCTGTCGGGAGGGATTGGAGGGTGCTTTCCTGCCTTGCAGAAAGGAGAAGGGGCTTGGACTGGACTGCCTTTGGAGTCCCTTCTGACTCATTCTTGGATTTCATAGGAGCACAGCAATGGAGACACATTCGACACCCCCCCCCCCCCCCCCCCCCAACGGCCTGAAGAAGCAGTATTTCCCAGCGTCCCCCGACCTCCCACATTCAGGGGTGGGCCTTCTGTTTATTATGTGGACAAGGCTTTCATAAGAGGACAACAAGGGGGTGCAGGCGGAGCGACCCCCCAACCTCTGTCCGCACATGTTGTTGTTCCGGCACATTTTCCCTGACCCCCCCCCCCCACCACCACCACCACCACCTGCAGCACGCAAGAGCCCAATTGCTGGGTCCTCGGTGGACAGAGGCTTTGCAGGGGGGCAGCAAGGGAGCCCCCCTCCTGGGTGCGGCCGGAGCCACCTCCCACTGTCCAGCACCATTTCACCGGTTCATATCTGAAGTTCCACTGGTCTCACGCCACATCTGTCGGACCCTGAAATTAAGCTTGCACTGGAAGTGTGAAAGGGCAGAGGTGTCCCATGGCGAGGGGTCCTTTCTCCTCCTGGACCCCTGTTGTGGAAGTTTTTGGCTGACCGCTGCCAGGAGGAAGGTGCCGTGGACTCGCTGGGCTCCTGCGTGGTGGCCCAAACTCAGGGAGAGGGGAAGGGGTTCCGAATAAAAGAGGTCTCTTGGTTGGCAAAGAGGTGTTTTCTTGATTGATGGGGGGAACGGGGGCTGGGGGACAAGAGGCTACTGTGTGCCCTAGTGTGGCAAGTTGTCATTTGGGGCGGGGCGGGGGGGGGGGGGGTCTTTCCTCTGTGTCCAGATAGCAGCACATTGCAGAACAACAGGAATCACTGGGTTGTCGAAGGCTTTCATGGCCGGACTCACTGGGTTGTTGTAGTTTTTTTCGGGCTGTATGGCCATGTTCTAGAGGCATTTTCTCCTGACGTTTCGCCTGCATCTATGGCAAGCATCCTCAGAGGTAGTGAGGTCTGTTGGAAGTAGGAAAAAGGGTTTATATATCTGTGGAATGATGTCCAGGGTGGGAGAAAAAAAGAACTCTTGTCTATCGGAGGCACATGTGAATGTTGCAATTTGCCATCTTGATTAGCATTTAATGGCCTAGCAGTTTCAAGGCCTGACTGCCTCCTGCCTGGGGGATCAGGAGAGAATGCTTCTGGAACATGGTGAGACAGCCTGAGAAACCTACAACAACCCATTCTACCGAAACTTTAGCAAGAACTTTAGCAAGAACTTCCTGCTTGGAAATGGAATCTGCTGCCTTGGGTTCTGGAGGCTTCTCATCCTCTGGAGGCTTGCAAGCAGAGGCTGGGTGGCCATCTGCTGGGAGGGCTTGTGTTCACCAAACCCAGCCACATTTGTTCCTAAAGGGCTTGCCCTCACCTTCCTCTGAGGCTGAGAGAGTGTGACATGCACTTAGTCTATTAGTGTAAGGCTGTAGTGTCTTAATGTAAGACTATAGGTTTTATATAGCAATATTAAATGACCACTCACAAGCCAGTTTTGCTTTGAAATGGATATATTGCTTGCATCTCTGCAGCAAAGAAAGACACTGCTGACTTTTCCCCTCCACCACTTCCTTTTATACACCTTTCCTGCCCAACTCCCACTCTTCTCCGTTTCCTGATTAGAATGTGTTGCTTCACAAGTTCCCATACAAGGTTTCCAACACCGTCTGCTGGCTTCAAAATGTCACAGAGAGAAAACTGAGGCAGCCAGGATGATTCAGCCAGGATGTCACGGAGGGAATTTGTGATGTCTTCAAGCGTCAGAAATTCACTCCTGACAATTAGTGGCCAAACGGGGATCGGAACCCTCCAGAACCAAGGCCCAGCGCTCTGTGCACCCCACCAGTGGCCCTCCCAGGCTTCCCATGGGGATCCAGACCTCATTTCGTGTCACCAGAACTGAAACCACACCAGCAGTCATTGGTACGATTTATTCAGAGGGGCTTTTCCCACAATCATTGCCTTCCCTGAGGCTGAGAGAGCGTGACGTCTCCAAGGTCTCCGGTGGGGCTTCCAGGGCCGAACAGGGATTCCAAGCTGGGTCTCCCAGAAAAGTCCCCGTCCAGCATGCAAACTGGGTTCATACGTGGGTAGGCAGTGCAAATATTCGTGGCTGACACATAGGGTGATGCATGGCGAGGGAAGGGGGTATACATCCCATAAATAGATCAATAAATGGATAGATTAGATGGGTAGATTGGCAAAGAGAGAGGTCCCCATTCCCTCTTTGCAAATGCGGTAGAGGCAGGGACGGTGCATGTTTTCCAGCTGACCCACTGGACGTCTCAAGTCCTTGTGCTTCTGTATGTGCTTCACGTGCGTTTTGCCTTGGAACATGCACACAAGGAGTCCAAGAGGCTCTGAGTCAGAGCAAAAGGAAGACTGTCCTGGAATCACTCTGGAGGTCACCCACTCCCGTCCCAGCCGTACCATCCCTGAAATGAACACAGTGAGCAGTGCCCTAGGGGCGCCCCAGAGGTCATCTAGTCCTGCCTCCCCAACGCAACCCCCTTCCCCAAAACTCTCTCCAGATTGTGTTCTGCTGCTCCAGAGACCAGGACACAACGGAGCCATGGATTCAAATGGAAGGAAAAGAGCTTCATAGAATCCCAGAGTTGGAAGAGACCACCTAAACATGAGGAAGGACTTCCTGAGAGTCAGAGCTGCCCAACACTGGAATTTCTGCCTGGGTTCTTGGATGGTGTTCTCCCTTTATAGCAGAAGGAGGCTGGACTGGATGACCTCAGGGGGCCTCTTGGAATTCTAGGATTGGGTGCTCCTTCCTCTGGAGACTCCGTGTCTCTTTTCCATTTCTGTTTCCTTGGTCCATCTTGGAACTCAACGGGTCAAACGGCTTCCCTTCCACTCTGTGTACAGTGTCCTAGGATCACTCCAGAGCAGTGGTTCTCAACCTGGGGTCCCCAGATGTTTTTGGCCTACAACTCCCAGCAATCCCAGCCAGTTTACCAGCTGTCTGGATTTCTGAGAGTTGAAGGCCAAAACCACTGAACCACTGCTCCAGAGGTCATCCAGTCCATCTTCCTGCCATGTGACCTCCTTCCTAAAAGCTCTCTCCAGATTGCTTTCTGCTGCTCCAGAGACTAGGAGGACACAACAGAGACATGGATTCAAATGGCAGGAAAAGAGGTTCCACCTAAACATCAGGAAGATCTTCTTGATAGTCAGAGCAGTGGAATCTGCTGCCTGGGAGTGTGATGGAGTGGCCTCCTCTGAAGATTTCCCATCAGAGGCTGTATCTAGAGATCTGTCAGGAGGGCTTAAATGATGTTCTTCTCCCTTTGTGGTAGAAGGAGGCTGGACTGGATGACCTCAGGGGACCTCTTGGAATTCTAGGACTCAGTGCTTCTTCATCTGGAGACGGTGTCCCTTTTCCATCTGATCCACTTTCTGTTTTCTTGGTTCATCTTGGGACTCAACGGGTCAAACGGCGTTCCTTCCACTCTATGTACAGTGTCCTAGGGGCACGCCAGAGGTCATCCAGTCCATCCTCCTGCCATGTGACCCCCTTCCTGAAAACTCTCCAGAGACTAGGACACAACAGAGAGATGGATTCAAATGGCAGGAAAAGAGGTTCCACCTAAACATCTGGAAGACCTTCCTGATAGTCAGAGCTGTCCAGCAGTGGAATCTGCTGCCTGGGAGTGTGATGGAGTGGCCTCCTCTGGAGGTTTTCAATCAGGGGCTGTATCTAGAGATCTGTCAGGAGGGCTTAGATGGTGTTCTCCCTTTGTGGCAGAAGGAGGCTGGACTGGATGACCTCAGGGGACCTCTTGGAATTCTAGGACTCCGTGCTTCTTCATTTGGAGACTCAGTGTCCCTTTTCCATCTGATCCACTTTCTGTTTTCTTGGTTCATCTTGGGACTCAACGGGTCAAACGGCGTTCCACTCTGTGTACAGTGTCCTAGGGGCACCCCAGTGGTCATCCAGTCCATCCTCCTGCCATGTGACCTCCTTCCTGAAAACTCTCTCCAGATTACTTTCTGCTGCTCCAGAGACCAGGACACAATGGAGACATGGATTCAAATGGCAGGAAAAGAGGTTCCACCTGAACATCAGGAAGATCTTCTTGATAGTCGGAGCAGTGGAATCTGCTGCCTGGGAGTGTGATGGAGTGGCCTCCTCTGAAGATTTCCCATCAGAGGCTGTATCTAGATTGTCAGGAGGGCTTAGATGGTGTTCTCCCTTTATGGCAGAAGGAGGTTGGACTAGATGACCTCAGGGGGAATTCTAGGATTCGGTGCTCCTTCATCTGGAGACTCCATGTCTCTTTTCCGTCTGATCCACTTTCTGTTCATCTTGGAACTCAATGAGTCAAATGGCTTCCCTTCTACTCTGTGTACAGTGTCCTAGGATCACTCCAGGGGTCATTCAGTCCATCCTCCTGCCATGTAACCAATGGGAACAGTGTCCTGGGATCACTCCCATTCTGCTATGTGAGCCCCTGACCCTTCTTCCAGCTCCACTGGAATCCCATGGGCAACCCCACCATGTTGTTGTATGACCCCTTCCCCGGGCGACCCCACTCCCCATTCATGCTGGGTCTCTCAGGCCACAGGCCTCTGGGTTTGGGGTCCGGTGGCGAACTCTGCCAGGCGCCAGATCTTGGGCCTGGGAGGCAGGGGCTCTGTGGGGAGAGGGGAGGGCGGTCTCGATGCCTGCTCGGCCTCCAGCCTTGGGGCCGAGCCCTGGGGGGTCTTGGGCCTC